AATCCCTTCCTATTCTTAGAGGAATTCGTCAATTCGCAACTTTAGTACTGAGTGTTAGAACATTCCTCGTTCATATTTACCCATTTTATTTTCTATCTTCTGTTCTAAAAATGGCTACCGATTGTCATTTATAAACAAGGGATTTCACAAAATTGAAGAAAATAAATAACAAAACACCACAAACAATATAGAATCACTCATAGGAAGTGATTTAAAGATAACAACAATACCATATTTCAGAAAAATTCAAAACAAGTAATACACTGATCCTGTCCTGTCCAAAACTAAACCCAACAACACACAGTGATCACAGAACTGCATCTATAAAATATCCTGTGAATGCAACAATTTCTATGTGAGAGAAACCGCAAGACCATTAAGTGCCAGACTAAACGAACATGAAATATAATCAAGAACAGAGACTTCGATAAATCTGAGATATGCAAACATGCCTGAAATAACGAGCATAGTGCAATGCAAAGATTCGTCAATTATGATAAAAAAAAACAGACATGAAAAAGGAAAAAAACAAAGAAGCAGCTCTCATCCTACCTAATGAAGAAGGATACCAAGAATAATTGCAGACATCATCTATAATTATACACAATACATATGCAACACACAATACACAAACTCGTAATCTACATTAAACAAACATACAAACATGCAAAACAGTTAGAATGTGATATTCAGAAGGAAAACACCACACTAAGATCATTTGTCAACCAAAAGAAGGCTTATTAACTGTCTATTGCTCAACATAGGCCTCTCGCATGCTTTTCCACTTAGTCCGATTTTGCGCCATCTGAATCCAATTTGTAGTCACTCTTTTTATGTCATCTGTCCATTTCGTTGTGGGTCGACCTCTATTTCTGTTCTGTCAACTGATCTTGCTACATGATCTGCCCAGTTCCACTTTAGTGTTGTTATCCTTTCAATAACGTCTGCTACTCCTGATCTTTTGCGTATAGCAGCATTGGGTATTCTATCACGTACAGAAATCCCTAACATTATTCTCTCCATTACCCTTTCCGCAACTTGTAGTTTAGTCACTGTTGTACTTGCGAGTGTTAGGGTTTCTGAGCCGTAGATCATCATTGGCAAAATACACTGATTAAATGATTTTCTTTTCAGACACATTGGAATGTTAGACCTAAAAATATCCTTCATCTTTCCAAATGTAGCCCAATCGAGATTTATTCTTCTTTTCAGTTCGATTGGCTTAACCCTATATAAAAATCATATTTAATTTAGACATGCCACAAGAAAACAGTTTCAGAACCTCTTTAGATGTACCTATAGCTGTTTTTATGTGGTGACTCGTGAACTTTTTACGAGAACTGAGATGAGGTATTACCCCGAAAAACTACTTCTTTAAAAAAATTTGTATTTTGATCTTCGTCTTTCTTCTTGTATTTAGGCTTTAAAGTCTGTGTCTTCTTCAATATAAGCGTCCTAAACTGTTTAAATTATCGCACCAACTTTTTCTTGGTCCGCCACTTCTTTGTCCATTTGGTGACTTATCTCGTGCTATTCGTACTATCCTATTATCTGCCATTCTACTAATGGCAGTTTCGTTCCAGTCCTGTTTCTGTTTTGTCACCCTTTCATTTATGTCTTCTATCTCCCATGCTCTTCTTTCTATCGCTTCTCTCTCTATCCAACAGACTTTTTCCTTGATATTCGTCGAAGTATTTTCATTAGTAGTCGTCTCCTTTTTGATGTATTAGGTCTTGTCTCCGCTATGTATGTTAATATAGGTCTAATTGCTGCTTTATATATTTTTGTTTTTGTGTCTTGTCTTAGGTGTTTGTTCTTCCAGATTGTGTCATTAAGAGAACCCGCTGCTTTACTTACTATTGTCGTACTTCTTCTTCGATATCTCCGTAACTAGTTATGTCTATTCTCAGATATCTAAACCCTGCTTCCTGCTTTATTATTTTTCCATCAATTTAGATTTTAAATCATTCTGTGTATTTAGATGTTGTCATACATTTGGTTTTTTCTGCTGATAGTATCATATTGAAATATCAAAGAAAAGAAAATGGAACATCTATGAGACAATGGTTAAAACTAGCCTACTTTATGGAGCTGAGACATGGAGAATACCCGAGAAATATAAGAACAAGGTCGAAGCCACGGAAATGGATGCCATCAGAAGATCGATGAGAATATCAAGAGCCGACAGAATACGGAATGAAGTGATAAAACAACAAATGGGTATAGAGGACACTATAGCTGAGGATATTGAGAGAAAACAGCTCATATGGTATGGGCATGTAAGCCGAATGGGGGACGAAAAATTGCCAAAAAAAAACGATGATGTGTCAACCCCCAGGGAAGAGGAAACGAGGAAGACCACCACAGAGCTGGAACCTGGGAGTTAGGAAAGCGATTAGCGCTCGAAATCTGGACGAAGACCTAACTCAAGACAGAATACAGTGGCGTTTGGGAGTCGGACAACGTCGTAAAACGTTATAAAACCGAATATATACATATTATCATATTGTATTTCTTGGCTGTTGTATTGAAGATGTGTTATTCTTTGGAGCTCGTCTTCTGTCTCGGCGATTAATGCGGCGTCAACATAATATTTGGATTTCTTTGTTCCCCATTGTGTAGCCATGACCTTTACGTACTGCTTTACGTCTAGGATCTTCCGGATCTGAATCCTTGTTGTTCATCTGATAAAGGTGTTAGTTTATTGATTTTGTTTGTTAAAACTTTTGAGGTAAGCTTAAGTGCAATGTTCAGTAGATTTATACCTCTATAATTGTTGGGATTATGCTTTTATAATCTTTTAAATTATATCTGTGACAAAATGTTCACACACTGTTATGTATTAAGGCTAGACTTACAACAGATACATTTATGATCTACCGATAAATCTAATTATTATTTTTGATCATACAACACTCATACATTTCATTCATTAATCTTTAAGTTGTATCTTGTATTTGTTATATAAATTGTGTTTAGATTTTTAATCATTCTTTTGGCATCTTGGGAGGATGTTTTTCTAGACATTTTTATTTCCTTACATACTTTATCTTCGTAAATTTTTTGTGTAATGCTTTTATCTTTATTTTGTTTGTGTCTGTTTCTTTATGATTAATATTCAATTATAACTGATATCAATGATCATCTTTTCAACATAGTTCTTACTTTACACGATCGCAATTCCTTTGATCATGCTTTTAATTTATGTAGTTTTAAGTACGTCAGAACCGATTTTTTTTTTATAAAAATCAAATGATCAGAATATATGACAGTAGAAAATCTTATTTCTCTAGTATATAATAATAATAATTATATACTATATAAAATAGTGATAATAAGTTTATTATACAAAGTATACAAAATATCGTCTTTGTTCTTCCGAAATTAATCACCTTAATTACCTCTCGAGACGGAAAAAACCTGAATTAATTCCAAAGATTAATTTAATTCCTAGACTCATTTCTAAAAATGGTCGGTTACCTGGTTTTTGACCTGTGGACTTTATCGACTTTAGACTTACAGGTTGACTATTCAGATAATGATAAAGCAGGTGATTACCTGTCACTTAAATAAAAATTCCATACAATATTGCGTGATTTACTTCATAAAAAACAATTTAAATTTGATATTTCTTATTGTTATGTTCTGATATACGAGGGAATTTAGTTTTTGTATTAATAAAGTATTTGCGGATACTTTTTATCGTTTAACCATTGTCTTTAGGACAATGTACTATTGAGTATTATGAAGCAAGGTAATAACAAGCCTGTTTTAGGTAGAATGGCAGTCGTACAAACATTTGTTAACTGACAATTTAATATTTGTATAACTTCTATTATTATACTAAAAGTGCTTTCTAATCTTTATCTTTTATAAAGAACAGTATATCAATGTATCTTAGATCTTACCAGCGAAGCTTGCAGGGAAAGAACCTATAAGTCCAATTTTTGACATTTCTGGTTTTTAATACCACCTTGTAGATTTGATTACATAGTTTCTAGAGTAACACAATACCGAATAATAACTTGATAAGTCAAAAGATATATGTATTTGAAAAAAAAACCTGTACAGGACTTGACATGTCCATTGCAAACAGGGGAAAACGTTGCTAAGTCTAGATAATCCTAGTAGTTGGCAACAATAGCATGTGACATGGAAAACTGGAACTATATATATATATATATATATATATATATATATATATATATATATATATATATATATATATATATATATATATATATATATATATATATATATATTTTCAGTAAAATTTGGAGGGTGATGTTGTACCTGACTTTCTTTTAACTCATATTCTTATCAGCCGTCTTTCAATATTGGTAACCAGAGCTTTTATTTTCGTCTTTTTGCTGCTTGTTCCTTTCATCACTATTGAGTCATCTTTCCAATTTACTGTGTGTTCTTTGTTCCATACGTGTTTGCATATCTAGGATATGTCGAAATCTCTGTTTTTGATGTATGATTTAAGCTCATTTAGATACTTATTCTCCCAGATAAAAATTGTTGCATTCATAAGGTATTTTATAAAGAGTCCTAGCAGGACTCATCAGAGCGACTGAGTAGAAGTCCTTAACATGAAATCAAATCTATTTCGTCATACTAAGTAATAATAAAATATCTTCATAAATACGCTACGGTGCCATCTGAGAATAAAAACAAAAAGTAGAAATCAGTACGTTCTTTTGCTTATCTTAAATGTTGTGATGTATTTATTTTCTATGCCTTTTTATTTTGTTTTTAGAAGCTTGTTACATAATATAATATTTTTGCTTTCTTTAAATCTCTTCTTGTGAACATTTCTGGATCGTTTTTGGTGTTTCGTTATTTCCTTTTGTGTGTTCTTCAATTTTGTGAAATTCCTTCTTTATAAATTATGATTCTAAGACTTTACGTCTACATATTTTTTCTCATATGTCTACTTTAAAAAATCGTCAAATTAGTTTTAAAATTTAGCTTTAAATGTTCTTATTTTGTTTAAGGTTGACATCGAAATCAATGGGGAGCCTCAAGAAATTCACATGAAGTTGGGAGAGAGCGGGGAGGCATTTTTTGTAGAAGAATTAGAGGAAGACGATGAAATTCCAGAACACTTAGCTACATCTCCTATACCAGTTTCTGAGTTCGAAACTTTATTTAAAAAACAAGTAAGTACTACATTGCAAACTCTAAACATATTGCTGTTAAAATTTATAATTTATTTATAATTGACGAAGATAGTACACTTGCGAAAGCCAAAACTGTCGCTAGAAACGAGCTGGACGAAATAATAAAGATATTCATCAAGAGGGGCAATCTTCTTTTGTCAAAATACCAAACAGTTTGCTATGATTATATCACCCAATGCGTAAAAACGGAAGTAACACCTATTCATTTAAAGCTGTTTATGTCTTTTACATGATAATTTAATTAGCAACATTCGTGGTGTGAAAATATTAGATAAGAAGAAATAACGGAACTAGAACAGGCTTTGCAGATCACAATCCAAATCATAAAACATAATCCAAATCATAAAAATACAAAAAAATGGACAAAAAGGAAATATCAATAATCTAATTATGTAGTATCAAATTTCCAAATATTTTTTTTAGTTATTTTAAGTGTGTTTTTTTTTGTTTCAGGGACGGCGCCTCAGTCTGGAAGACATCTCCAATCTGGGATTGGAAAACGAAGAAAATGACTACAAAACGCGTCGCAATACGGCAGACAACGAAAGCAACAAGATGCGGGAACGCAACTTCATCAGACGACAACTCGTCTTGGGTAACATAGAAATAAACGAAAATTCAGCAGAAGAAATGACACTATCCATGATATCCGGAAAGCACAGTAGCGAAGATCTAAGCAAGAGCCACAATGACATTTCTGATACTATTTTTAAAATGGACAGCTTGGATATAGAAACCAGTAAAGTAAGGAAATGTAATTTGCTAGTCTCGACTGTGCGTGTCCTTGGCATTGTATAACAATAAAACTACCGTGACATAATTTAGTGGGTTCTGAAGAGTGTTTTGAACTTGGCATGACCTTTTACGATATCACTACCCAATTATAAACAAGTCAGGTACATAAAAAAAGTGTTGCCAAGGAGATATGTTATTTATTGTGTTCTAAAAGGAATTCTAATTTTTTAAACAACTTTTGGATACAATTAATATAATCGATTACTGTTTCTTATATTTTCATAAAATTTACTAATCCAAAGGAACAACAAATTTTTTCTTAAAATTTGAATATTAAATATACCTATTCAAATTAAGTACGCGGATTTTATCATTAAATAATATTTCTTATTTTTCCTGCATACATTTGTTATGACAAATTTCAATCAAACACTAATAAACTACTATAAGAATAATGTTGTTCATGCCATGCTCATTACTACTTGTAATTGACGATAAAAGCTCTTCTACATTCTCAAGCGAATTGCAATGAGAGTTATTCCAATCCCACATTCTACTACTACTCTACTCCTGTTTTCTAGTTTTACTAATACTTAATAGGGAGCAATAAATCAGTTTATGAGACACCCTATACCTCTTGCCATACTGCTAATCCACCTTCAACTTGATTTTACTTAAATATCTACTCACTTAAAGTTTTCTGGCAACCCACTGAGCCAACCAGCTAACCAAGTCCTAGATACGGTTTTAGAATGTACTGAAGCTGTAGTTAAACAATTCTTTACAGGTACAGGTATATGAATAGGAGTAGGATGAGAGCTTTTTGAAATTATCTAACCATGTTCGACATTTATTTGGTGATTATTTATTGCTTTCTTCTATTTAAACTATTATTGTTCTGATTTTAGTATATGTAGACGAATAGTTGTGTTTTTTTTATGATTCTATTTTCAAGAAATTGTATTAATTGTTTATAATGAATTTATCAAATGCTTTATTACTACTGTTCCTGTTATTCTTTTTCAAATAAATATAAGATCTATTAATTAATTCTAGACTACGGTATACACAATCACACATAATTTAAGTTTCTAGTAGTCAGGTATCTTAACTCTTCATGTTTTTAGACTGAAGATCTAAAATCAGAAAATCTGGTATCTCCTGTAGCAAACCTTCCTAAAACCGACGATCCTACTAACGAAAATAAAAGTAGTAAGAAAAGGCGAAAAAGAGTAAGGCGAAAGAATGCTCCAAAGAAATCTAGCAGCATAAACCAAATGACTAGCAGCCAGATATCAGAAAATCTGGAAAATAACGATACCATTACTGATAGGAGCTCTTTAGACAGCAATGGGTCCGATCCTGATATTAAAGAATTGCAAGGGTAAGTTTTGGATATTTATATCTGTTTATGTTATTATTGGAAATATCCCATTGTTATAATAATATATTTTATATAATTTTATAGAATAATTCCAAATGACTGGCAGTTCGCAAAAAAAATATTTGTTAAAAGATAACTCCCATTTTTATTTCACTTTGATCCTGCTGACTTGTTAACTCAGCAGGCTGATAAACAATTTGATTTTAAAGTGATATAGAGACTGTATAATTCGAACCACATTCCAGATTTTTCAAACTTAGTATAGCTCAAATATTGTAACGAAACCTAACCTAATTTGATCTAAACTAACGTAAAGGTGCTTCTAAAGATCTATTGTGCTTCTCTTTGTCACTTAAAACTCCTCGTCTACTGATGCTGATGCTTTTGGTCCTAAAGTGTCCAGTCCTACAGTCCAGATTATTGCCCTGACAGTCTTTCAACTGTGGGTTAATAAATTGACTGTGAATTTGATTACATGTCCCTTAGTGAACTCTTTAGACTGTCTTTGCCTTGACATTTCTCTACCATTACAAAGACATTTCTTGCACCCATTTTTCAATGGCTGTTGTTTTGTGTGTGTTCGCAACCCCAAAGCAGGCCAGGGCTAATTAGTGGCGACAAGCGCCTACTCGAGCCAGTGTATCATTGCCTACATAGCCTTTATTTCCTGGAATTTAGCTATCGTCAGTTTATTACGACTTCCAACCTGGGAGAGAATACTCAAATAGTCAAAACAAGTTTTGAATCAACCTGAATATAACTGGGGACTTTTAGAGCTTCTCTAAATAGATTACGATTGAATCATTCTCCAGTTGCGGACATATTAGTTCCAGAGCACACCTTTGTATAGCGGCAAATTCTGCCTGAAATCTGGTGGCATATGTTCCCAAGCTTAACCGGATTTATGTCCTTGGTCTTGTGCTGTATATAGCAGCCTCTGTATTTTCATCGGTTTTGGAGCCGTCTATTTACAAACTTAAGTTTGGCATTACTGGCAGACCCGTTTCCCAGTCTTTCCTCTTTGATATGATATTAAAATGCTTATCAAAGCTATACCTTTGGATCATTCGATCTACAGGCATGCCCAGAACGAGTTCGCCTTTGTACCACTGATATAGCCTTGTTTGATCGGCTCCTTGCGTTATCCATATAGGAGCTTGAACCTGTATTAGCCTGCGTACTTTTGACCTGACCTCTGTATAAATATATACAATGGTTGTAAGTTTGGCAACACTTTTAACGCATCTATAGGGGCGGTTCGCATGGCTCCCGTGACACTTAAACAATCCAAGCCTTTGTGTGCCACTAAGGCCTTATAAGCCTTGCGTATAACTAAAGGTTCATTTTTAGACTAGTCCCCATTTCTTCCCACACAGTCGTCAACATCTGCCTTCTGCGTAACATTTTTAATGCGTGGATTCTACGTCAGCTTCTAGTCAAATATTACACCTAAGTACTTGCTGTGTAGGCATTACTAATTCTTATAAATCTTGAAAAGTATTGATATTAAGAAAATAGTCTCCTATTGTATCGCAAGATAATTGTAAGACGAAAATACTCTGCTGGGGTACCCCAGGAGATAGAAGACATCGAGGAAAAACTCGTCTGCTGGATCGACGAAGTCGAAGAAGATGCAAGGAAGCTGGGATTCTGCCAACAGTAAATTAAAATCGTAGCGTCGTGGAGTCAAAGTAATGGGAAGATAACTGATTTGGAAGCTTAATTTATTAGATATAGAAGAATACAATGTCAAAAATACCCGTTTATTTATTTATTTAAGATTTATTTTTATTAGCCACAACATGTCAAAAATAGAAATAGTTTTGACTGAAACTTCTTTTTCTTTAATTTAATGGCCTCTGCCTTTGCAGCGGTGGAGACTTACGTTTGTTAATATTAATACGATTTGTCATTTTTTTTTTATAAACATACTGTCAATTTAGTTTTGCAGATTAATTTTGCACATCAAATGTATTGTAACAAGTAAATTTTATTTCAGAAAATCATCCAAGAAAAACGATGACATCGTTCTTCGCGTAGATACTTCCAATATTAAGAAAATAGACGCAGATTTTCATTTCTTTAGCGACACGGAACTGACAAAACCCAGTATTGGAGATTGCAGAACTGGTTCTCCTGAAAATGTTGAAAACGTCCAGTCTGATTCAGAATTTGAAGTTAAAGCAAGAAAAGGTTGGTATCACTTAACATTACAAACATATTTAGCTTGCTTTTACAATTTGAACTTTCTAGCAGTCATCATACTTGATTTGTTGATTTTCTAATTGGATCACGTAAAAAAATGTAACAAAAAATCCTTAAAGTACCGTTTTAAGACACGTTTTTAACACAATACTGTTTCAGATGAGCCTATTGACAACGCGAAGAGCTGGGAATGGGGAGGATTCCCTAGCGTCTCCCAGACCAACTCTCCAGTGAGCGACAATCCTAGACAAGAAGAACGTAGGTCTATGTTAAGCGGTATGTTCTCTTTTATGCAACAGAAGCATGGTGCTCAAAATCCTTTAGAGGGGGGAATGTACTTGTCAGATATTACTTCCGGTACTGTCGATCAAGAAGTAGCTCAGATCTATTTCAGTACGAACAAGGACAGAAAAGGTAATTCACTGCTTGTAACCAAGACTTGCCACAGATATATTTTTTCTTTGGGCATTCTACAAATGAAAGTTGATGATAGAAAGAGTAATGTAATAAAGTAGTAAATAACTGTTATAAATTTTTTAATTTATGATGAAAGAAATGCTGATGTGAACCCCTATTAACTATGTTAGCAAAACAGAGAGGTAACCATGATTCAAATAAATGATGTAATATTGTACATGGCGTCGACTGGTTTTGGGGTTTAGTAACTAAATCTCATCATGAGGTCAAGTAGAAGTTTTCAAAGAGTATGAGTAAAATAATATATAAACTTACAGTGAAACAACAATCTTCTAATGTGCCAACAACCCTAGTAATTAGGCTATGTGCCTTCTGTCGCAACTTCTAAATTACTTGTTAGTCGTACATAAAAATGAAGTATGCAACTCGGAATCAACCTTATGCTTTATTATCACCAATACACTATGTTAAATGCTTTTATATCAACAATTTCATTTTTGCTAAAGTGCAGCGGCTGTGAACTGACTATCCATATTAATGTTGCATAAGCCCTTGCCCGAATGAGCGTGATGTTAAGAGGTCAAAATTATCATATTTTATTAACCCTATACGCGTTACGATCGCACCAATAGGCGTGAATATACGTATCTAATGCCGTTGGTATTATGTTTGATTTTTCTAAAACATTCAATTCTTTTCATTAATCTTGTCACGTGACATCTTACACACCCAATGCTACATGCCCCTTAGCCCCCTCCATTACTTTTTTTTTGAGCTACTCTTTTTCTTCTCATACGTCACGATCCGATGAGCTGTTCTACCCTCGCCACAAAAGATCAAAAAATGTACACAATGAACCTTAAAATTCTTTTCAAAATTTCCCCAGATCTAGGGAAAAAATTAAAGTTTCTTCTTCTGGAAAGCGATGTTGCCAGTTGTTGCAAAATGCCCCGTTTTCAGAAGATCACATATAACCATATGACGTTTATAACATCAGACTATATGTAAACCCTCAAATTGATCGCCCTCATCTTACAACAATAAATAATTAATTTGAATTGTGAGAACTTGTCTCTGTTTTGCTAAGATAGTATTCTAATTTTTATTAAAAAAATTGATTGAAATAAGGGAATAAAAGAGGGAAAAATATAGTGATAGGGGAAAATATAGAAATCTGAAGAACGAGAGAGATGAGTAGAGTATGAATGAGGTATAACATCTGAGGGAAGAAAGGGAAAAGAGATAGATTGGGTGTAAATTGGAGGGCTAAACTGGAGAAATAAAGTTTTAGGGGGAAAGATATGGGACAGACAGCAACATTTTGAAAATATATTTAATTGAAAAAGCCTTCCTTATCAGTGATTAAATGAAAATATTAGTAATTTCGCCCCTTAAAGGACAGCCAATGTTTAGAGAGTCCGTTTATTTTAGAGCTAGAATGTTGTAGTTTTCTCTAGGACATTTATTCTAAAAGTCATATTCTAAAAGTTATCAGTAAAAAAATAATATTTAAAAGAATAAAACAGCTAAAAAATTAGTATATCCTACTTATGTCCAAAGGTCTGCAACTGCAACAAATATGGAAATTATTGTGATGGCGAATATTACCCATTATCGGCTTTGAATCATCGTATTGCCTCGTACGTTCGGTAATCGCAATATAATGACTTAAATAAATTAGATTATTCTATGGGCACGGCCAGCCAGTTGCAAATTGTTAAAAAAGTAAGCTAGAATGCTTCACACGATTCAAACTTCCACGTTTTACCGAAGAAGCGAATACCTAGTAAACTAGTCTATTAAAACCAGTTCAGAGAGCTATTTAAAATACTGAGAATATAGTTTTTAGAATACCTGTCCAGTTTTTGATAAATGTTATTTTTATTGGATACTTCAATGAGTGTTAGTTGTATTGGAATAATGAATGAATGGTAATTTCATGTTTATACTTTTCAAAACTTTTCATTTTAGAATATCTTCCTTTATCTTTATGCTCGCTAGAAGCTACGAAATCGAATGTTTTTTTATGTTATTTGGACACGTTTATAAAAGTTCTTATATTTTATTTTTGCATATGGTAATGCGAATGGGCATGACTTAATATTTTAACAGATATTCATACAATAATAAAATGTCTTTTACACTGTCGGAAGTCTAAGAAGTGAACATGTAATATATAACATGAACTTTAATTTTAAATGGAGGAAAATCAAACATACTTTATATTGACAACTTCTCTACGTTACGTCTTTTACGAAGGAACATATACAACAACAGATGCCTTTGCGTCTCGATAGTCGGAGAGCTAATAGATCATTTTAAAATTCTTGTAACATGATCGCGGTAACATTGTGTTTCATTCAAATTTACTAGTATACTAAAACAGTTTTTAATTGAAGGTGATTACTTGGCAACATCGTACTTAACGAAGCCCTTAACGATAGCTTTTCAACGAAATCATATTCCACTTATCAATTTTGCAGAGGCGTACCAAAAAAAATTAATTATTTATTTAAACATATAAGTAATTACATAGTAAAAATTAAATCGTAAGACCGATATAATGATTAAATTACAATGTGTCTTTTAACAGGTATCTTATAGTTTTCTAACAAAATAAAGTCAAATGTTATTCTTATTAGAGAGTCCCTAATTACAGAACTTAAAAAAAAGTAAACTTTGTAAAATACTCATTTTTTTCATTAGATTAAAAACATACTAATGAAAATTAGAATTTTTTTTAACTTAATTTGAAAGTTTCCTTGTGTTTATTTGTTTATATCAATATAAAAATATATTATGAAATTCATGTAAATTAAAATGAAGTAAGCTAAACTATTATCATGTGAATGCGTTTATATAGTACTGAATTTGTTTATTTCAGTAAATTCTCGAAATATGAAATGAAGATGGCACTAACTACTAAAGAGTTACTAGCTTTGTTAGAAGAAGACTCAGATTGTAAAACTACTGACTCACTTAATGTGGTATATGTGCCGCCGTGATTGGATTAGAAAGTTTCTGATGTAGAAGACATTGATGATAATATTATTTGTAAAGAATCAATAAAATCGGATATTGCAGGTACATATGAAATACAAGTGATTGGGAATTCTGACGATTCTGAGTATGATATACCTCTGAACCACATATTAAACGTACAGAACACAGATTATATATATGTATATTATCTGGTTTACATTCTGCTTCAAGTTGATGTATTAGTCAAAGGATGAGGATATAGAAAGGCACATTATAAGAGAAAGCATGAGCCGACATAGATTTATATTTATAATTTATAATAGTGAAGAAACCGCTAAAAGTGTCAAGCTTAGTACATGGACGTCAATCTAAATTTGCCTTACCAGATGAATCCAGATTCGACAATATTGGTCACATTATAAAAAGAGACGATAGTGCAAAAATGTAGGATGTGCAAAACCAATATTATTTATTTATGTAAAACGTGTAGAATGCATCTACACCCCGAATGTTTCGAAAATTTTTACCATCAAATTTAATTTACATTTAATATGTTACTTTATTAAAAATTGTACTGTTTTCATTGAAAATGAAAAAAAATCTTTTTGTTTGTAAATTACTCTTAATTTATGTCTCTTTAATCCAATCTAATAAATTAATTGTCAAATTTCTCTTTGTATATTGAGCGGCCGTTAATGGGTTAATACTATATAAAGAATAAACTTGCCTCAAATTTACTTTACTTGCCTCAAAACGATTTTAAAGTTAATAATAAAGGCTAATTAATAAATATATTATTCCCAAGAAATAAAACACACTATGCCTATGCACATTGTGGAAGGAATAAATTAAAATATCATATTTCTCTCATTCTCATTCTTTCTAAGAACGTAAATATATATAGACCAGCAAAATAAGTTTACCACTATACACTCGTAAATCGCACCAATTTATATTGTTACGGGGGGAACTCACTTACTTACATGGGCGAAGTATATACAATAAAAATGACCCCGGTAAGAATTACTGTTGAAATTTTACATGGTTGCTGCTACCGTTTAGTTCAATTTGTAGATTAGTCACCTTTAATTGAAAATTGTCCGGCTATAATGTAATGTTTTTATTATCAAATATATATTTTCGAAGGATCGGTAACACCGTATGGATCTTGTAGCGTTTTTTTTTTGCAGTGCAATCACACAAATTGATTGTTCTTTCTCCATTTATTAACAATTATGTGGATTGTCTATAACGGTATAATCGTTATTAATATTATAATGCTATAGGGTCTATATAGATGTAAGCAAACCTTCATACCAATAATTTAGTGATTATCCAGACAAACAACTCAACAAAAAGTAGTAAGAGACAGTATCTCTGGCCCCGTTTATAATTTTGTTATTGTATGAATATTTGTTATTGCAATGTTGCATTTGTAGAATGAAAACATTCTTCTGTTTATATCATACCAATAAAGTTAAATTTTTTTTTAATACTTTTTATAATATACTTATCTAAAGTTTATTTGCAAATCACATATATGTGTGATTACATTACACGTGTATACATAAGTATATGTATACACATACAGGGTGTCCAATTAGGTCGGCACGGTATGAGAAACTTATTTATTTTTAGTTTTATGAAAAAAAAACCATGCTATCTAAAAAGATATGCTTGTTCTAAAACCTAAAATATATTTATCGCATATTAAATTTTTCTAGTCATATACGAGTGTTTGTCAAAAAATGTGAATTGTGGATCTTGTTAACTCTTACATAAAATTAATATTTTTCGATAAACCGCGTGTATGACTGAAAAAAATTAATATTTGATGATCGTGTTTTAGAAGTTTTAAAACATAGTAGTACTTTTTATAAAGAATATGTTTTTTTCATAAAACTAAAAATAAAAATGTTTACCATATGGTGCCCACTTCATTGGACATTCTGTATGAGGATATATATATATATATATATATATATTTATATATATATATATATATATATATATATATATATATATATATATATATATATATATTTATATATATATATATATATATATATATATATATATATATATAATATATATATATATATGTATATATACATACGAATACCCACCATATCTGCTGCATCGCGAACTTTGCTATTTGTAGTTTAGTGCTTGCTATTCTTTGTAATGTAATAAGTGTTATCTAATGCAAAATTTAGACGTGGAGGTGGATTGTGAATCAGGAAATGGTCCTTCATTGACGCAGAGTCCCAATAGTGCCGATGGATGCAAGAGTATCGACTCGGACTTCGACGAACAGAATAAATTGTAAGTATATATCAAATCTAGAGTTCTATACTTAACTTTAAACCTTAAACTTGACATATCTTATCAGTGAAAGTTCAGTAGATTGGCAACACCTTATTCTTAAGGGAATCTAGATTTTCTTCCATTAGAGTATCTAATATTCGCAGTTTTTAATGTGCATATTCCAAGCAGTTTGAACTTTCAGTAGGTATTTCATGCGTTATTTTTAAAAACCAATATTATCTATAGTTGAAAGTGTTTCTATTTTTGAAATCCTAAACTATGACATATATGGTAAAGCCATTTGTTTATTTGTTGATTTACACTGAACCGTCCAGATTTAAATATACAGTAACGTCCAAGCTATTAGACATTTGCTAGACGTATTTGACCTATAAGGCAAGTCCGACCCATTCTCACATGTGGCCGTCAGCTGTTACTTACAGCTGGCGCTTCATTTAAGACTTGCTGGTAGTGAAAACTGTGGTTACATAGATAGCAAAACTATTAAAAATACACTTGGACAAGTTCAAGAACTATTTCCTGGTGCACTTGAAAATCAACCCACTCATGCAATAAAAACAATATCGCGTATGGCAATCCTTGCAGTCACAAACGTGAACCTGTTTTTGATGAGCAATTTTTCTGCAAGTAATGATTCCTGCATGTTCCAATGAAAACCTTACTTTGCAATCAAGTTGCTGAGGTAGTAGATAAAGTGGTATTACAGTTGGAAGAGTTTTGAAGAAAAATAGTTATCGACCATGTAAAATGAAAAAATCGAGATATTTCCCGAGGACAATATTCGAAGTATGGAGTTTTGTGAAGCGGTACTCATCAAAAGTCCGTATTACTGCGATGTTTTTTTACAAATACTCTACCTGCACCACTCCACCTCATTACCTTAAGTAATTGCGTAACTGAACTGACTGTGCTGCGATATCTTTAGGCATAAAAGTAACAGTTTTGTTTGTGTGGGCTCTTCCACTTATTGCACACATGTGGGAGGGTTCGGAACCGTATTAACTCAATGTGCATATATCTCCACTAGCTTGGTGGATACTCTATAAGTCACAAATATGATCTTATTCCCTTGCAAAAAAACAGTTACATGTAATGTAATTACAGGAAACACGACAATCACCACAACTGCCAATCTACTGCCTTACAAAAAGTACTAACATAGTGCCAGCGATATAACTTAATCTATTTTGACTAAAGAATGCTATTTTCCTAAAGCTACAATAGTGCTTGGGATAAAAAGACATGTAGGTACCTAATGTAATGAAACAGTAGGACGATATTTTATGAAAAAGAAAGATTAAGTTATAATCTTTGGTTATTGTCAACAGATAGAATACCGTTAAAAGTTTTTTAATATGTTTTTATAAGAACAGTGTTAACACATGGAGCAGAAATGTGGTCACTTACACCGAAGGACCACAACTGCTCAAACGCTTTAGAGTTTTGTAGAAGTTATGGAGAACCTCTCGTCGTGAAATTCATTAAGGTAGTACATATCAGACTTATAGAATATGTAATCAGGCGGTAAGAAAAGGCAGCAGTGAAAAATGTTTTTAACTTAGAGGATCATGAACCAGAAGAAAATGAAACTTTGGTACTTGGACAACCTAAGGGATGACATAAAATCTATCAAAGGTAAATGGCGGAGAAGAGTTGTCCAATACAGAGAAAAATTGGGGATTGTTCTAAAGAAGATTGCTCAGCCAACAAGCTATAACGTCATTAATGATGATGCCCTTCTGTTGTTTTATAGTGTAATGAATTCTCCCCACCAATTTTAAATCAAAATAACAATTTTGTCACCTAAGGAAAGAAATAGAAAAACTGAAACATAAATTTTATATGTAATGTAACAGTAAAATCAGAATTCAATATGAGTTTTAAAATAATTTAAAATTAGTAACTTAAATAATTTCAATCTAATATTTGTTAAGTTGTTTTGATTAATTAAAAAATCGTTGACTGTTTTAGTATAGGTTACTTTCTTTTTTAGAGCGCAGTCATTTTCCCAGGAGATATCCCTTTCGCTCTGTGGGTGGGATCCATCACCGAACTACAACAGATTTTTGGAGAAGGTAGTGAAATTTAGCGATTTGTGCAACAATCCCATTTTATTCGAGAACCCCAACTTGGTAGTAAGAATAAAAGACAAATACTACTCGTGGAAGGTAGCAGCTCCAATTATTACCAGTATTATGGTTTATGGAAGACCTTTGGTACAATCATCTGTTGATCAGTTGTGTAGTATGCACATGCCGATTAGTACTCCACAGGTTAGTATCTAGTAAAATAATTATATTAACGTGTTTGTGGATAAACCTTGTATACAAGGATTCATCAAACAAAATTAATTAGGTTGTGGATTTTACATTCAAATGCCGATGGTTGTCATTTCAATCATTTTGAAAATGATAAATGTCAGTGCATGATATTTATATCATTATCTTTGTCAATATAAATTTTGTTGACGATTGGAGTTATTCTAAGGAGCTACACGACTTTAACAGTTGTCAAAAATACATGATATCTGAGCAGTAAAAATATTTGTAGTAAAAAACGTATTTTGGCATTTTAGGAGCTAAAAGAAGGACCAAAGCAGGAAGCAAGAAGAAGTTGGTGGAGCGGATGGAGACGAGGGGGTGCTTCGAGAGAAACCACTCCTGCCCCTGAAAACGCTAATGAAGCCCTTAAGACTGCTGATACCAAAGATGTTGTTATAGAAGTAGACGACGATTCAAAATTAGAAGACAAAAATGGTACGTTGAGAAAATTCAAACGATATACGATTTTATTTATCATTTTATTTATTTATAGAAGATGTTAACGAGCAAATTGATGTACCCCGATCTCCGAGCTCTAGCTCTGATAAGTATAGGAAAACTTTGAGACTGACTTCAAAACAAATTGTAAGTTGCATTTATTTTTATTAGATTTTTTTTAATGTATCTTATTTCGTTAAGGTTCTACTGAATTTGCGGGATGGTATGAATGAAGTGGAATTCAGCGTTACTACTGCATATCAAGGTACCAGTAGATGTCAGTGTCATCTTTACAAATGGAAGTGGGATGACAAGATCGTAGTATCCGATATTGATGGCACAATCACAAAGTAAGTATTTAAGTCACAGATTAATTCTTCATCAAAAGCAACTCGTTTTTCTCGAAAAATCATTAAATTTTTAATGTGTTTTAGATTATTTTGTTCAAAATTTTTTATTTCTTGTGGAAGTGTATGATGCGTTATCTAAAATAATGACAATCTTTGCTTCTAAATTTAGAAACATTGTTAAAAATTTTTTGATTTAAGAAAATGAAAAAATACTGCAGTTTTGGTGATAATTTTAACAAATACACTGTTTGCTAACAATGATTATTAGTTATCACCTTATAATCTTATTTAAATGTTTGGTGCATCTCTATATGTTATTATTTCAATTCTTGTTTGTATTTTTTTGATAAAATTGGTGTTTTTGATAGCACCACATTGGTACCTTTCAAAATTTTGAGCCAACTTTCTGATATCTCTTCTGAAAAGAATAGTGTATTATATCGTGGTATCCAACAGGTCTCGATACTTTTATTTAGCATAATACTGTCGAAGTTGGCTATAAATTATAGTGTTCAGACGTAATTATAATTTTTTTCATAACTCGACGTGATTTTCGTTCATAACTTGACTTCTTTACTCTTCGTCATCTAGCTTCTGGCACTTTTTGAAATAATCCCTCATATGTCTTCAAACGTTAATTTTTGTTACTGAAACGGGTTTCAAATTTAGTTTTTGTAATAGCCTTTGTTAACACCATCGCATTTATTTGAATCGTGTTATTGAAAGGTGGCGCTTTCAGCGCCATTTTAAGTTTTGAAAATACGAGAAAATCTCTGCCTACTTCATTGGAACTCTACGGGGGCTAGCAGAGTTGTGGTTATGTTTTGCCAGAAACTGTTGCACATACTATTATATGAAAGCACTGGCACATTATCGCAGATGAAGCAGTTGCCGCTTACCCAACAGTAGATCCTTTTATCTGACATATTCGTAATCAAAATAACTTCATCATCTAAAAAAACATTCAATATGGACGCTTGAATGAAAACAGTTTTGTTTAGGGATCATAACGTTAAACCCACGAATCGTCACCTTTAATGCTTTGTTCATCATTAGTTATCATTTCCAAGTATCCAAAGCAAATATTTTTCTCTCTGCTTTAGACATACACTAGTCATTTCCAAATTCTCAGTGATAATCGTTTTTTTTTCAAATCTCACACTTTCGATATTTTTCGGTGTTGTGCTGGATGGTCGACCAGAATGCTTTTATATGTGTATCGCTCATAAATTCATCTCCAAAGAGCATTTGTATCATGTGAATAGTTTCTGCACAACTTGTGCTTACAGCAAAACTTAATTCAAGATACTCGAACCAGACATAACAAAATGGTAAGAACACAAAAAAGACAAATTGTATAAACAAAATCTTTCTACTACACCCTAGACAATTCATATTATTCACATTGGGCATGTGGAAGTTCGTGAAGAGTTAATGATTCCGATCGGACCTTACTAGAGGGTGTTGGAACGTTTTTATGAAGTTATACGGAGTTACGGGTTATACAGCGAATACTATTACAAGAGACAATACCTCGTAAAGTCGGAATTCTGTTGAGTCTGACAATAAAAAGATTAATATATATTCTCATATTGTACTTTCGTTTAAAGGATCAACAATATCCGTTAATTATTTGTTCTTAAATATATATTGTTTGTCAATGCAGGACTACAATGTTCGCTAGTTTGAGTAAGTGGCTTCAAAAGATATTTTTTTTAGTTAAAATGTCGCTTTTGAAGTTGTACACATATTTTTTTCCATTTTTAGTATAATTTGAAATAATCACCAATGGGTAAGATTTATATGTAAGATCTGTAAAATTATGTAAAATTGATTAATTGTTTCTATTTTGGAAAATTTAGAGAAGGTTGTTTACAAATAATTTGGAGGATAGGTCTAAATTTATCTGCTTATCATCATCAATCAGCCAATCGCGTCCACTGCTGGACATAGGCCTCCCTCAGTTCTTTCCAGTGTTCTCTACACTGGGCCGCTTGTAGCCAGTTTCCCGCTACACGTTTAATGTCATCGGTCCATCTAGTCGGTGGTCGTCCTCGGCTTCTTTTATAATTTCTGGGCCTCGATTCCATAATACGTCTTGTCCACCGTCCATCTTGTGTTCCAGCTAAGTGCCCTGCCCAGTTCCACTTAAGCGTCGTGGTTCTTTCGATGACGTCTTGAACTCCTGATCTTCGCCTGATTTGTTGGTTTGTTATGTGGTCTCGAAGGCTCACGTTCAGCATTGCACGTTCCATGGCTCGTTGTGTAACTCTAAGTTTATTCGCAGATTTTTGCGTGAGTGTTAAAGTCTCTGCTCCATAAGTTTGTACAGGTAAAACACATTGTTTATAAACCTTTCGCTTGAGACACATGGGAATTGAACTTTTTAGAATATGGCTTAATTTGCCAAATGCTGCCCATGTTAGACCTATTCGCCTCTGTATTTCATGTGTTTGATTGTCTTTGCTTATTTTGATTTCGTGTCCCAGATATTTGTAAGTGTCTGTTTGTTGTATGGTATTATTGTCAATAGTTATATTTCCACTCATTACGAAATTTGTTATAATTTTAGTTTTCTCAAGTTTATCTTTAATCCTGCTCTTTCAGACAGACTTTTAAGCGAATGCATCATATAAACTGTATCATGTAAGTTATCTGCGATTAATACAACATCATCTGCAAACCTTAGGTGATTTAATCTTTCTCCATCTATATTGATGCCCATATCTTGCCATTGAGTACCCTTAAATATTGACTCTAGAGCTGTCGTGAACAATTTTGGTGAAATATTGTCTCCTTGTCTAACTCCTCGACCTAAGCTGAATTTTTCTGTGTCTTCGTGCAGTCGTATACTTGATGTAGCGTTCTGATAGATGTTTTTGATTAGTGTCGTGTACCTGTAATCTATTCGGCTTTGATTTAGGGCTTCCAGTATTGTTTCAAACTCTACAGAATCAAAAGCCTTCTCGTAATCGACAAATGCAAGAACCAGTGGTATGTTGTACTCGATGCACTTTTCTATTAAGATCTTTATGGTATGCAAAAGGTCATTTGTGCCATATCCTGCCCTGAAGCCTGCCTGTTCTTTGGGTTGATAGAAATCAAGTTTAGGTGTTAGCCTCTTTGTTAAGATTTTCATAAAGAGTTTGTACATATGTGTCAAGAGGCTGATGGGTCTATAATTTTCTAATTTAGTAATATCGTCTTTTTTGTGTAACAAGACTATTACTGCATTGTTCCAGTCTTTTGGAATCGTACCCGCATGTAAGCATTTAGTAAACAGTTCGCTTACTGATTTTAATAAAATTTCTCCACCTGCTTTTATTGCCTCGATAACCAGTCCATCATCACCAGGCGATCGATGGTTCTTCATTTCCTTTAAAGCTGCTCTTACTTCTGACACAGTAATGGGTAAAAGTATTTCCGATCCCTGATTTATGAGAGTCTTTACTCGTGTCGGGAAATTGTCTTGTGGTCTTTGGCTGGTATAGAGGTCTTTATAAAATTCTCTAGTTATTTTCAGAATATTTTGTTTATCTGTTGTTGCCTTTCCGTCTTTATCTCTCAGCTTGTATATTTCTTTCTTACTTTGCCTAAGTTTTCTTTTCATTATCTTTAAACCTTTGCTCTCTGCTTATAGGGATGCGGATTCCCTATATGGGAAGTGAATAAATACATTTACCTTGAGTGACATTTTCGTTTATTTTACCTACGAATAAAAAAGTGTTTTGGGCTGATAGGGAACGATTGAGACAAGGTCAATATAATTTTTGGAAGTAATAGGAATTAAGGGAGTAACGTTAGAGTAGAGTAGAGTAGATTCACAACCACTATAGATTTTACTGTAATATATTTTATTTTAGGTCTGATGTGCTTGGCCATATTTTACCCATTGTTGGTAAGGATTGGGCACAGACCGGAGTGGCTCAGCTATTTAACAAAATTGAAGATAACGGTTATAAACTACTGTATCTCAGTGCGAGAGCCATTGGTCAAGCAAGGATTACACGAGACTACTTGAAATCTATCAAACAAGGGGATTTGAGCATGCCTGACGGCCCAATACTTTTAAATCCCACATCTTTGATAACTGCTTTCCACAGGTAAAATTACAAACTTAACTTTGCTTCTTTTATTTATATGTTTGCTTGTAATTTAATTTAATATTTTAATATTTTTTAGGGAGGTGATTGAAAGAAAACCCGAGCAGTTTAAAATTTCTTGTATGTCTGATATTAAAGCTCTATTTCCAACGGATTCGAATCCTTTCTATGCTGGTTATGGAAACAGAATTAATGTAAGTTTCAAATACTTATTTTTTTACATCATATTTTTATAACCTCGCGTGTTTTAAATTCCACAAATATTTACAAATTTTTTAAGGGTCCAAGATCCTATCGTGTCTTTTCTAATATTCAGTGTTGCGCATTACTTAGTTAGAGTACCCAATACTTCTAGAATATTTAAAATTTAGTGTTCAGTTGTCTCATGGAATATAGCATAACTTATCAAATATACTTTTTCTAATATAGGTTGATCTCTCTCTCTTCAATCGTGACCCCCCAGAGGGAGTGTAGTGGTCGACGTGATGTCGTGTATTGTCCGTCTCCAGAGATCTCTGTCTCTGGTCATTTCTTTTAATTCATGCATAGGTATTTGGCATATTCCTATAATTTGATCTATCCATCTTGCTGGGAATCTTCCTCGTGATCTTCGGCCTTCTACCTTTCCTTGTATTATGAGTCTTTCCATGTTTTCTGTGTTTGCTCTCATAACATGCCCAAAATATTTTAATTGTTGGAGATCGACTTTACTAGAGAGACGTTGGCTAACTTTTAGCTCTCTTAGAATTGAATTATTTGTTCTACGGTCGGTCCAAGGAATTCGTAACATTCGTCTCCAACAGAACATTTCAGTGGCGTCTATCTTTCTTCTCTCCGATTGTCTCAGAGTCCAAGATTCACATCCGTAGGTCAGTATTGGGAATATTAAGCAGTTGATCAACCTCATCTTTATCGCTCTTGAAATTTGACAATCCTTCCATATTTTGGTCATTTTTGCTGTGGCAACTTTTGCTAGATCACATCTACGTTTAATCTCTTCTTGTAATGACCCTGTGTTTGTGACTAATGATCCCAGATATAAGTATGAGCTCACAACCTCGAACCGGTCAATTGTGGTTATGTGTGGATGATTGTTGTGTAGTCTATCCACTATCATGGTCTTTGATATGTTTAATTGCAGACCAAATATTTGACTTTCGTTTTCGATCAGTCGTATAAGTTCTATCAGCTCTGCTTGACTGTTTGCAAGAAGGGCTGTGTCATCTGCGAAACGTAGGTTGTTTAGTTTATGACCATTTATTGAGATGCCCTTTTCCCATCCTTCAAGTGCTTTTCGCATAATATACTAGGTTGATATAGCACACCATATGTACCAAGAGTATTGAATTTCAAAATATCTATAACATAAAATATACATTATTTTACTGCCTCTCAGGATTAATTCTAATAAAAATAAAATTTAATAATAAAATCCAGCAGTTTAATCATGATTAAACTGGCCTGCTGGGTTTCACGTGTCAGAATACGGTAAATATCTTATACTGTAAACTATTAAATTTTATATTAATCTTTAATCTTCATGGAGTAAGTTCATTGTAGATCGACTCAACACAATAGATTTTCGCTACCTTCTTTGTATACCAACTCCTTTTTCATTTCAAACAAAATACCCGTTAGTAGTGAATAAAAATATTTTTATATAATTTTTTAGGACGTTTGGGCGTACAGAGCTGTAGGCATACCAATAGTTAGAATATTCACCATTAATCCAAAAGGTGAACTCAAGCATGAGCTGACGCAGACCTTCCAGTCCAGGTGAGCATCTTTTTTTTTTTCAATTGGATAAATCTAACCGGTGGCGGTGCTATATTTGGTGCTTTGGTCATTTGTTTTACATCTTTTATTCAGTTGCTGATTTATTTATTTAATTTTTGCAGTTACTCGGGCCAGTCACTGGTGGTCGATCATGTATTTCCCCCTCTTTTAAGCAAAATTCAATACGATTCCGGCGATGATTCTGATTACGTTGATGACTCAGATTCTGAATCATCATCGTTACACATGACATTGTGATAATTCATCGCCGTTAGATTTTTTTCTAAATTTTATAATTTTTCTGGCCTTTTTTAAATAAAAATTATTATCGAAGATGTTCATTAATGTAGAAAAATATAGTACAATGTAGAGAGTTTTATATACAAAGTGTCTTGAATTGTTTACTCAGACTAATAATTTTTATTTAATAAGAAAAAGGCTGTCAATTAAGTATTTTTGTACATATTTGTTATTTATTATTATTATTTATGAAACATGTGTGTTTTGTCTAAAGCGCAATGCATGAAAATTGGTTTTTGTAAAGCTTTCATCATCCATTTATTACAAGTAAGATCTACAGACATTTATCCTATTTTTTCAATGAAAAAGCTCGGTCTTGTATATCTTACTTTGACTCATAGTGCTTTTATGAAACAAAAAGGATAAAACACACGTGTCTAATTGTTAAAAAAAACAGTACAAAATAGTTTAAATTGCCCGAAATCTAAGTATGGGGTTTACTCGTTTCGGTTCTTCCGCACAACCCGCCTTCAATCCACGTGGCTTCTTGCATCGATGTTTAGTATTTGAAAATGGTAAGCAAGCAGTGGTAGAATAAGACATTGTTCATCTTTCTTTTCTTGCCTAAGACTACTGTTTATACTAATGTTTTTTCTTTGTTTCTGTAAAATCATTACTAACGACAATTATACATCATTGTGTGATTTAGGCTTAGTATTTTTCGGAAAATCTTCAATGTTTTAATATCATCAAAACTACATTTTTTTAAAGAAACATGGTGATCTTATTTTTTTATAATAGTACAAAAATTGAATAATTTCAACAGTATACTTATTCAAATTTACCACCATTTTTTCTATTATTTCACTGGAAGATCACTATGCGTTTAGCAAGGTTTCTCCGAATTAATTATAACCATACGAAAAAAAAAAAAATATATCAAAACATGTCATACCTGGGCCATGTGTTCCGTAATGATAAGTACAGTCTGCTACAGCTTATCGTGGAAGGCAAGATTGAAGGTAGAAGAGGTTTGGGCAGAAAGAAGAAATCCTGGCTGAGAAACTTGAGAGAATGGTTTCAAATACCAGAAGCTGCGAACATAATTCATGCGGCACAAAACAGAGAAACCTATCGTATGATGGTCGCCAACCTTCGGTAGAAGACGGCACATAAAGAAGAAGCATACGAGATAAATAGGACGTTGAAATATAATGAAGTCAAGAAATTAGAAGCTTTTAAACTAGGGATATATCGAATCAAAATATTACGAATTTCATTAATGAAGAGAATCGCCAATGCTAAGGTGTTGAGACGAACAAAAAAATGTGTAAAATATCATTTCATGACTAAAACCAAGTATCAATTAGTTCAATGTATAATGCACGAAAAGATCAGTGGAAGGAGATCAAAAGGAAGAAGATAGTTGTGGTCTGCGGAAGTGAAGAAAGTTGAAGCTTTTAAACTAGGGATATATTGAATCATAATATTACGAATTTCATTAATGGAGAAAATCGCCAATGCTAAGATGTTAAGACTAACAAAAAAAGATGTAAAAAGGTTTTAATTCATGATAAAAACCAAATGTCAATTAGTTCAATGTATAATGCACGATAAGATCAGTGGAAGGAGATCAAAAGGAAGAAGATAGTTGTGGTCTGCGCCATTTGTCACACCAACAATAACTATTTGTGTAGAACAGCATTCCCAAAAATAAGTGTAGTTTTGAGGGTTGCTAACCTTTGCAACAAAGACGGCAAATGAGATGAAATCTGAGAGGATAAATTTTATAGGAGCAGATACATTATGAAGAAATAATAAAAAAAAAGCAAAAACTGTGACCATGTTATAAAGAATGCATGATAAAGAAAAAGAAGAGAAAAATATAAAGGCAAAAAAACTGTGACTATGTTATAAAGAATGCATGATAAAGAAAAAGAAGAGAAAAATATAAAGGCAACAAAGCGAAAGAGCTAAAATTGCTAAAATCCCACCCATGACTCAGAAAAACTGACATTGATTTCGAAATATGTTTCATTTAAACATTTGCGAACCTTTTATTAATTAATTATAAATTAGATTACTTAGATTAGATCAATAATTGAATATAATCTGAAGAAAATCGTTTTCCTATGCTTTTAATTAAAATATTCAAAATGCAAGTTAAAATTTATATAATTAATAGATAAATTGTAGAGATAAAGTAAGATACTTTCCGATTTAATCGTAAATATTCACTGTAATCTTTCTTACTGTTTTACCAGTACCTAGTCATTAAAAAATAATATCAGAATACCATAAAAACGATATTTAAAAGCTTCATATCATTCATATCATCGCAAAGTAGTGAATATCCCGTAAGCGATTGTGTTCTTCAACATTTTTTGAAATCTATAATATACTATTAATAAGGCCTTTAAAGAATTCCCAATTGAAAAGGCTTCATTACCTTTATCTGGCCTAATACTAGTAACTCATTGATCTTGACTGACCTGTTTTATGCCAATCATTGATTGAATTGGGATATGCAAAGATGTTACCAAGTGAAGAGCTTAAAATAAATATAAAAAGGAGATTAGGACAAAACTTTTAATCAAATTATGTATTTGAGTCGCATCCAAAATATATTTTTTTGCATATTTCCTATGGAAGAAAATACTATGTATTCGCTTGTATTGCATATTTGAACGTTTAGATGTAGCGGCACATTTTTAGTAATTTGTTCCTTATTTCCAACCTTGAACCCTTATTATGCATCTAGAAAGGTCAGTAACAAACTATTCAGTTCAGGTAATCTTCTAATAGAGATTTTTTATAACAAATCGGCCAAAATCTGGAAATACAATGTCAAAAGTAAATATTACATTTATTAAGTTATTTGAAGTTTAAATATAAACATTTTTAGAATTTGAACCACATGGCTGTTATTAATCATTACTGCTATGTCTGGCTTGGGATCATTTTTCTAATTATTTTTTAGATCCAGACCTTTCTATCGAAAGTTTTAGTAATATTAACTTTTTTCCCTATATCTTGGATCATGTAATATCACAAGAGACTATTCGGCTCATCAGGATTCGTCAGTTCTCTTTCCGTACTCTTGCGATCATGACATTCATCATAGCATAGTAACGATCCAACTAGACCCACCACTAATATTAGATCTGTTCTATTTCATGCAACCATAATATTCTTAGGCGCACTAAATGCATCATAATAAAGGTCCTGGTTGACCTCCCAACAGATGTCTCGATGATGTACAAGAACTGGATGATAATGGCACTAGGTAGCAAGTGACAAATTAAAATGGAAACGCCACTGGTAGGCTTACGTCCCTAAATGGACAGTCAACAGCTATTAAAAAAAGAAAGAAGATAATATTCTTACTCTACTGTAGATACATTTGTCATTACGTGCCTTATAACTTTTCTCCTTGCACCTCTCGTTGATTTGATTTGCAGAAATTTAAACTGAAATTTCTGTTTTTTCGCACGTTGAGGTTTAGTTGCTTATTTTTGTATGGGACTTTTGTATTATCTTTATACCTTTCCAGAAATATCATGTAACCGTCTCCGTTCATTTTATTGCTAAAATAGTGGAGGTGTAAGGACCAGAAGTGAACGAAAAGGCTTATCTAAAGTTATAGGAAAGGCTCTTTTTACAATGTCTATCCTCACTGCCTCAGATTTTTAAGCCATAAGGTTCTATCAATTCAATCTGTATCTTTACTTGTATTTTAATTAAAAAATAATGTATTTTCTGTTACACACATGGTTTTTGTGGTGTTAAAAACTTGAGCTTTTTTTAGAGATTCCACATGTGTCGATATTCTGAGCTTGCGGGGGTAACAGTATATCTCAATCTGCTTTATACCTTTGTATGTTGATTTTGCAAGAGTTTGTAACCAGCGATTGGATTTTATTTTAACCGACAGAAAGAAAATTCGTGTGTTTTTTTTACAATTTATGAAGTTTCATCCCATAAGACTATCTAAAGTACCCAACCATTTTCGTGTGTGAACAATTTGTATACCTAAAAATTTTGTTGTTGCTGTTTTTACTTCTGTTACTCCTTACGTCTTGTTACGTTTCATTAATCTTTTCAAATAACTAAAGACAAACTGTACGGTGGGTTTGTAAATTCGCAATGTATGTTTATTTGTTGACAATTAACACTGTACTTTTTAAACTGTGGCCCCATTAGTGAAGATCTAATTGACCAAAGACTCACAATTAATGACCTGGAAGCATAACTTTTCAGACCCATTCATCCGATTCTTCAAAAACACCCGTTTTTTTCCAATATTCTTTCCAGAAAGGCCTTCTTCCAGAATGACATTACATTTTTGGCCGTCGTACAAGTTTACAATTAAACAAATGTCTTTTTTTCCAATTTTTGGTAGCAAAAACACACTGAGGATCGAAAATCAGCGTCCAAAAAACTATTATCAGACCAATAATATGTGATGGATGCGGGCCATGGATGATGACCGACAATACAAAAAAAGCTGGAAGTATTTAAAAGAAAAGTTCTAAGGAATTTATTTGGATCTATTAACGAAAACAGAGTATATAGATCTAGGTACAACCATGAACTAAACCAACTGTTCAAAGAGGTATCGATCTCGGAATTCGTCAAACTTTAGAGACTTCGATGGGCTGGTCATGTAGTAAAAATGTAGGCCGAAAGATTGCCGAAAAGAATCCTAGATAGTAAATACAGAGCGTAAGACCAAAAAGGAAGGCCACGGAAAAGGTGCTAGGATGAAGTGGCAGCGGACGCACAAGATTAGCTGGACGGGAGAAATTGTAGAAAATCAACGTGGGATAGGCAAGTTTGGAGGAGGTTAGGGTTCGATTTGGACTGCATTGCCATTGGAGAGAGACAGATTATTAAAAACGATTTATTAAGACAAAAGCAATTATGAGGCTTGGTCGCAGTGCTTTAGTAGTAGTTAACCGAGCCGCTTAATTGTCATTCTGAGTTCAGATACTCTAATTTCATTAACGGTTTTTGAATTTGTTTTTCTGTTTCTTGTTAATCGGATGTATGACACAAGAAGGGAAATAAGTGAATTATTACATGGATTAAAAATCAGAAAAATTTAGCTCCGTATAAGAAATCTTACATACAAACGCCATAGTTTTGAAATTAGAACACAATTTTGGGATATTCCTTACTTTAAAACCAAAAATTTATGTATTATAGCATGTATATAAATAAAATTTCTTTTTTTTATTTTACAGCTACTCCAACATGACCGTCATAGTGGACCAGCTGTTCCCATCTCGTTCGGAAGCCGCCAGTGATTTCTCCCAAAACGTTTATTGGCGAGACCCAATCCCCTCTATAGAGGAAGTACCCGAACTTTAAATGTTCAAAACAAAGTTAACGTCATTATCTGCATTTATATATTATGTAAACCTCTGTGATTAGCTTCAAACAGTGTGTGCTTTTTATCGATGATTCCATTGACATTTAGTTTTTGTACGGACGCTGACATTAATAGTGCAGGCATTGTTGATTTAGTATTTACCTAATTTGTTGTAATAAAAGAAAGACATGTTCACGTCTGTGTTCATAGTTGATTAGACGGTTGAGATTTGGTGAACTTACAAATATATGAACTAATTTGTCCAGTTGGTATCAATTGGTAAAGGTCAGTAAGATTTAAAACGCTTTAAATATGTGAAAACTTCTGTCCCTAAACACTTTTGTGAAGAAATATTTGATACAATCCAGCAAATTAAATTATGGATAGACAAATGTTTGGGGTATATGATCTTATATGCAAATATTTGCTAATTTATTGAAATATTGATAATTTAATTTCTAAATTTCCACCGTCTAACGCTACGAACATACATAGCTTCAGTGTTAGACATAATGTTGACAGATCTAAGTGTTAGCTACAGTAGTTTTTTACCGCAATATGATAACGTACTACAGATAGCCAAATATGATTTGTGTTAGTACTATAACTAGTTAGTTTTATGAAGAAAGTTCGAAAGCAATTTACAATTATGTCTTTAAAAGAAAACGGGTAATTTTTGTTATTCTTAAGTGACCTCAAAGCCTTATGTCAGAAGGTCAGAAGTATGAACAGGGCGTATGTATTTCAAATCTTACCAAAAATACAAGTACTACAACAAAATGGACTGTGTGAATGTCTGCGAGAATGAATCCCAAGAATATTTATATCAGAAGACTTTAATTAGGAGATTTCAGAATGAAAATTCCTACTTGATTGTTGGTTTACATCGTAAGAACCTAATTTTGCTTATGTATGTTTGCTATTTACCTTTTTGGAGTAGTTTTACTCCAATATGATCTCTCTTTAGTAGAAATACTTTCTGTTTATCTTTCCTAATGTTGGTGCTGTTGATTTTGTTACAAACCTTTGCTATTAAACCCTATATTTAAGTTATGATTAATCACTTCTACAATATTTTCTCTTTTTATTTAATCAATTTTTTCCATCGATGTATATTACTCAAAATTCTTTTATTGTGAGGAAATATACCATTCCACTATTGAAGCCGGTAGAGCAGATTTTATTCTTACCGACTGGTGTGAAGTTGTCAACATCTGTTCCAATCGGTCCTTTAGTTTTGTGCTTTATGTACTTAATGCATTCCAAAGTACATGACATACAGATAAACTAAAAAGGAATATGCATTGAGCATAAAAGTTATGTAAGGGAAAACTATGGCAGCTATGTATTATACGTCATTATGTCAAGCTGTTTAATTACTCTTTTTGTTTTTATTTTTATATAAAATTAAATGTAAACTAAGATAGTTGGAGCAATTTTGATAGCAGATTAATCATTTTCGAGGAGTAGTGTTTAATAAATAGGAAGTAAACCTTTTTTCGATAATTATATCTTCTACTATACGACCTTTTTATATTTTAGAAACCTTCCAAGACATAGAGGTTCCAGTAAATAATCGTAATTTATTGCTTAGAATATATCAATGATGATAAAAGAAAATTACATGACAAATAAAATATACTGAGCATGTTACCAACTATTAAAATTTGATTTGACATATTAATACGCTCTGATCAAATATTTTTAGAGATCCTATTGTAAAATTGCTATTGCTTTTTGATATATCTAATAAAAAAACATGTTGTACTTTTAAAATGAACACATTTTAATACTTAAAAGTAGTGAATGAAGTTTATTTACTTTTACTTGGTAATTCCATGAACTGGATAACAAAATATAGTTGCAGAACTTTATAGAAGCTCCATTATCGTTTTTTTCTAATTCGAGAAGACGTCGATAAAACAAAGTATCGTATCGTGAGCAAATTGATTTCTAAATTCACACTAAATTTTTGTTTAATTATGCCTAAAAACATTTCTTTTACAAAACAATGGTAAATTAAATTTCTACAAAACTAACGTTGGAAAAGCTCAGCACATTAAGTCCGTGTCAGACGGTCAAATATTTGATCAAAATAGTTTGACCAAACCAAAAAATTGACAGCATATGACGTCACATCCTGAGTTTGATCAAATCCTCTAAAAATAGAGGATCTTCTATTTTCAAGGTCAGTTTGATCAAACTTTAATTTTGATTGGCCGAAAAATATCTAAAGTCAAATGACAATCAGCAGTTAGACATAACGTATTTAAATTAATTTTCTTTTTTTTTCTTTGGTTGACAGTGTGTGGTTTATTTGTCTTCCTATTTTGTTATAAAATAAAAATTTAAAATTAGCAGCCAGGAACAAGTTTCTACATAATTGATTTATACCGAGAAAGAATCTGTTTATCTAATGTCAAACATCTATATTATACAAATCCTTTCACCCTATTTATTTTCTTTGTGTATAAGAAAAATTAGAATCGTAAATAAAGCCCAAGCCACTAATAAAATAAGCAAAAAAGACAATTAATTTTCTTGACATTCGTCAATTTGATCAAATTTGAATGATCGTGTGACAGGTAGATTTTTAAAATTTGAACAAACTGTAATTATGACGTCATTACGTCAGTTTGCTCAAACTAGTTTGATCAAATATTTGACCGTCTGACACGGACTTATTGCTGTCAGTTCAGTTTTGACAATTTAATCAAAAAGTTCCCAGGGTTATGCAACCCATTCAGTAGCTCTGTATCGATGTGAATATACTTTTAGGGCAGTTAAAATTCAAAAAACTGAAATTTTCAAGGGGAGTCTAATAATTTGAGCAGGAACTGTGCATATTTTGCTGCATGTTCATTTAATGTGACTTTTTACATAAGCTATGATGTTTCTGCAACTTTAAAAAATATAAAGTTCATCAAGAACAAATAGTGTTTGTACAATTTTTCGCTTTCATTTTTGGAAATACATAAATATTTAAAGCTTTTGCCCAAAGCAAAGCAATTTTGGATACATCAAAATATAGTTCGTTAATACTTAGAGGTAGCTTGCCATGAATATCATAATTCCATAGTTAGGGATTTTTAAATCACTTTTAAGAGATGTAGTTATTGTGTTTATGGATGTGTTAACTCATCTATCGATTGCTGGTAGTATTTTTAATTTGAGAGTATTATGGACAAGTAATATATTTACTATATGAATGAAACAAAAAGATATTGGTATTGGTAGAGAATTATTGCTAGTGAGGACTTGGTAAGCTAGTGGAATTTTTAATATTGGAAAGACTGTATTTTTTCAATAGTATATAGACGAATTTAGTGACAGGAATATGAATTTAGCGGAAGGAGTATTAATTTAGTGGATGGATGTGTGAAGCTAAAGTTAAAGACAAGAAAAATGTATACAAAAAATATATGAAAATCCAAATATAAAAAAAATTAAAGTTTGAATGGCGTAGGGAGATCAATTGTGACAAGGGACTAAATCAGTAGAATATTTCCAATACGGTCACTAAACTGTTACTTCAGAAATACAATTGCTCCTATAAGATTGATAAAACTAGAAATAGCAAACTTTTGCAAATGAGATTTGTACTAAAGTGAAGTACAGTTTTTAATTTTTATTTGAACAAGTAAATATTACCATTATTAGATTAGACTTGAATGGGAAATTATTCTCTCGATAGCTCATCGGGCTGGTAGATTCACTTCACTGTGAGTAGTTTGGTGGTTTTATGGTTCGAGCTATGTTGCAATCATACATTTTTTAAACGTACTATGAGGTCAATCTACTAGAAAACCGGAACATATATACTTCCATTTTATAGTAACGATAAAAGAACAATGTAACAATAAAATAATTTTAGAGCTGTGCTTGTATCGTCATGTTAATATTCTAAAGATCTGTGGGTGCTTATATATTAGAGACAATCATATAATTTTTTTTGTAAATAAAGTGTGCATCTTCTAGCACAAAAATTTAAACATTATCTCTCAAAATGTTTTCGACAATAGATCTAAAAAAACACTAAAGTAAACGATAGATGAGTTCATTATCGGTTTTGTTTAGTTTCTTAGGATTGATTATATATTCTGACTTTTTAAAGGCTGTTGGTATTGTGATAAATATTCTACCAATATATTAGTTTAATACTTGTTTAGTTCAGTTTATTTCATATGTTGTTGTGTACGATTTTATTTGGTAGACTATAGTATTGGTGTGAGTGTGTAAATTTGTGAATGTTGGGGATTTTTTTAGGGGGTTTTTAATTTTAAGTTATATTTAGGGTTAAGTATTTTTATTTTTGTGGGGTATTGTAAGTGTGTTCAGGCTATTAGATTATTTTCGGACATATTGTATTGGGCTTTTGTTTTTTTTTATTGTTGTAAATTTTAAACAAGGTTTTTTGGGGAGTGTTTTGTGTTTAATTGGTGGGGTATGTTGGGTTGATGGGTATGGTTTATTTTGATATGGTGTATTGGGGGCGGGGTAAATGTGTTTGGGTAGTTATAGTAGAAGGCGTAAGATAAGTAGTTAGGGTGTATTGGTAACTATTGTGAAAAGAGGTGAGGGGGGAGCGAGCGAGAGAGAGATGAGAGTAGGAGGAAGAGAAGTATTTAGGGGGATGGAGTATGAGGGTTTTTATTGATTTTTAGTTAGGGGTTTGATGGGTTGTTTGTGGATGGAGGGTTTATGTTTTGTAGGGTGGGGTAAGGGTTATTTGTGGTGAGGGGGGGTTTGAGGGTTGGTTTATGGGTTTTTTGGGTGTAAGTTTGTTGTTTTTTAGTGGGTAGTGGTATTTTGTTTAGTATTAGTAGTATTTTGTATGAGTTTTGGGGGGTGGTTTTGGGGTTTAGATATTTTTTGGATAATGGGTGTTTGGTGGTTTTATTGGATTTTTATTGTGATGTGTTGGTTGTTTTGGTATGTGGGAATGGGGGGTAGGGTAGTAGATATATAATATGGTGATTTGGTTGATGGTGATTAAGGTTAAGGTTGGGTTTGGGAAGGATATTTGTGTGAAAATGGTGTTTGTGTATGTGTATGTGTAATGTGTTATGGTGGAGGTGGGGGAGAGGCATTTTATTTTTTTTTTTTTTTGATATGGTGGTTTGTTTAGTGATTGTGGTGGTGATTGATTGATGTGATTTGTTGATATGTATTTGGGTTTTTAATTTTGAGTGTTGTTTGGTATTTTTTTTTATTGATGTATTAGGTGTGAGGGATTGTGGGGTTTTGGGTGGAGGTTATTTTTTGGGATTTGGTGTTATTGAGGTATGAGGTTTAATGGTTAATGTTAGGAATTTTTTTTAGGTTATTAAAAGTTGGTTAAGGTTTTTGGGAGTGAGGTGTGGTAGTGATTGTGTTGAATTTATTTGGGAATTTTATGGTTGGGGGAAGTGGAGTAGGAGGGTTGGGTAGATTTTGAGGACGAGAGAGACTGTAACAATAAAGGACGACGAGTGGGTTCGATTATTCATCACTCTGTATATAACGTACTGTCATCTCAGGTTCAAAATTTGAGAATATATATGTCGACTCTTGTGGAGGACAAAATAAAAATTACACAGTTTTTTGGTTCCTTTATTATCTAGTTCAGACAGAAGAAATTTTTCCCATCAGAGGACATTCTTATCTAGAGTGCGACCCTGACATGAGTTTAATTAATGACAAAGCTTATACGGAAACTCAGGATGATTGGAGAGAAGTCCTTTGATGTGTAATTACCGATCCCGTCCAATAAGTTAATCAAAAAATATATATTATATTCGACAACAAAACTATACAACCATCTACCTTTGCAACTTAAATCTGCAAGTTCTTTCCCAAGTTCCGTAAAATGACAAAAGCCTATCTATCTGAAAAACAATATTATTTATTGGAAGAGTTTCTTAACGAATAACTGAGAAATACAGTAGGGTAAGTCCGGGAGAGAGTGGAAACGAAA